AAGCCATCCGCGCCTTGGCAGAGTAAGAAGCGTGCACGCGAGACGTAATTTCGGGCGAACGAACAAAAGATAATTCCAGAAGCATCAATTATGACGCATTGCATGTATCGCATTGATCTATCCGCAATTACCGATTGAAGCGGAATGAATGTGAACGGTAAATTCGGAGGAACAAAATGGCCGCCACGGTAAACATTCTAGATTTGAAGCTTTCGTGACTGCAAGGATTCATATTCTTAGGGTTTTTTCGGTAAAGTCATGTAGGTAAAACATTAAAATTAATAAAAGTATTGATACAGCTGTCGTGGCTGTGACGGTTCCACCTGAAGACGGAAGCTTGTGTTGCCTCCGAAACGTCGTGATTTTTATTTTATTTAACTTTTATTAATTTGAATGTTTTACCTAAGTGACTTTACCGAAAAAACCCTAAGAATACGGTATACATTTGCGAAGCTTCGATCCAGGGAGGTATTATACCGTGCTTGTCCTCGCCAGAGATGCTTTAGCATTAATACAAATTATTCAACGAACTTTAACAAAACGAGCCACCCAAACCAGCTGGCTCAGGCCCCCCCGAGCACACAAACCCGACCTCTGACCCTAGCTTGCCCCTCGGTATCGCCAATGGCAGGCCTCCTTTACCCACTTGTTGTTTGCGTTTTCACTTTAAGTTTTTAACCCCTGGGAGATTTGAGCCTCAAAATGTATTTTTGACGGGGAGCTCCTGCAAACCGGGATGACGTTTGGCCAATTACACCTCGCGAGTCGCTGGCACGCGAGACGAAACTGGAGTGCGCAGATAAAACGGACGCATGTGACATGATGACACTGAGAGGAGGTCCCTACAGAGTCACTCCAGAAGGCAGGCCAAATACAATCTATATTCATGTGGATTGAACTCGGTGCTGCGCTGCGATGTCCTGTCCACCTCGTGGCCTGCAGTACCAGCCACCCTGCCGCCCAATAAAAAGAGACAAAGATTCCCCGTATAGCCTCAACAGACTTCAGAAGCACGTGCTGTTAGAGCGAGCACCCACGAAGGCACAAAAGGTGGTTTGGGGTGGCCAGCACCAAACCCGGCCGTCTTTGTCGACCTAGCAGCAATGATTACGCACTGCACCAGGTGCTCATTTGAGACGGAGTCGACCTTGAGGAGACCCAGGACTGGCTTAGATATTCATCGCTGGTGTTGGCCGTGAGCAGGAATCGAATACGTGGTCGCCTGGTTCGTAGCGCAGCGCGCTAAACCGCTGCACGAGCGCCCCGCGAACACCACCAGCAAGTCTACAAATTCCATTATACACGACCCCGAATTATCGAGCTTGTTTGAATAGATTGCGCCAAGATGTCAATGATTGTGAAACAGGTAGGACCTGTTAGTATTCCCCGCGACTGGATACTGTTTCACGGCTGAATGACTGCACCAGTGTTTGTTTTCATAGCAACATCTGTCAATTGTGAAAGTTTAATGTTTCCCGAGGGCTTCCTGGCAAGAGCTCAGGAGCCAATAACTTTGTTTGACAAAGTCGCCGCGACTCGCTACGCACGGCGATGCCTCCTCCTCCTCCTCGCCTTTTGGCAGCAACTTCGTGAGAATTAATCGTACGCAAAATCGAGGCGAAAACAATCAATACTCCTACTACTAATATCGTTGCCAATGATGCGTTCGTGGCAAGCGTTTGTGCGCAATGAAGCCGTTCCAACCAAGCCACAAGGCCGAAATGGGGCAGTTAAAGGACATTAGCATATTCTCCGGCTTATGAAGGACACCTTCTTTGTTCCTATAAAAAGCGACATTGGACGGTGAGTCTCATAATCCTGTGACCAGGTCATTAGAATTTTATTGACACCGGGCGCAACTTTTTTGTTTGGGGGTAGGGGTACGTCCTTACTTTCTGCACCGTCGTATAAAAAAATCAGGAAAATTCGGTACTTCGTAACAACAAAACCACGTGCACACTTCTTGCTCGACCCACTGCTGGATTATTAAGACCATACTTCACCACGTTTGGCGCGTGCGGGTTGAAGTGGGCACGGGATCCCAGCGCGTATTCAAATAATGCACTCGCACCGCTGATGTCAGCCGTGGCCCCGGAATCGAACTCCTCTAGTCGGCGTGCTCACAGCGTGCAACTCATCTAACAGCGCACAGCAATAATACAGTCGTGAACACAACAACAATTACAACATCCACTGGTCAATCTATTCCAAGAGAGCGGCCTAGCCGCAACGTTTTTGGTCAAACGGATTGTTTGAGTCTACTTCACCACGCTGGTCATGTCGGGTTGGTTAAGGGGGAAAAGGTTGGGATGATGGTGGAAGAGATTTGGGGGGGGGGAAGAGGGGGGGCGCGCTAGGTCCGTTACAGATATTACTCGCCAGTCGCCACTGATGAGAGCCGTGGCTTTGGAAGCAAACTCTATGTCGCCGGGTTCATAGCGCAGTCCTCAAACCCCCACACTCTGCCTCACCACTCCACCGGGCTAAATTTACACAGCGTGCCAATAAACCAAAATGCCCCCTCTCTCCTGCACGTTGCATAACGGAATTCTGCCGCGGACAGCGAGCAATTTAGTGGCGCAATCTTTTCCGAAATGTCATCTTCTCGTGCTGCGAGGCAATTATCTGGCACGCGCGTGTCCCCGCGGGGTGCGTCTCGCGAGGTGGAGCTGACGTTTCGGGGCGAGCCCCGCAGATTTTTTGCCATACGGTGAAGGAGGGGAGGGGGTGTGTGTGTGTGTGGGGGGGCTCTGATGGCCGGAGCACGGAGCGGAATTGAATGCAGAGCGACACTCATGATCCCTGTAGTAAATAACAATGACGATAACGTCGTGGTATTTATAGGGTTCATGAAGCCATCGGTGGCGCGGTTCGATCCCCCCCATCGACCGATGGCAGTGGTTGAATCAATGGCGTTGGCAGGATTCTTAAATCCTGCCAACGCCGGCTCGTATCCACCCACAGCAGTGTACATAGGTACCTCGTGACAGGTAATTACATCGGCAGGTCACGTCCGGTGGGGGTAAAATGCGGGTAACTCCCACCCCGTCCAAGAAGTACTGGCCATCGTGAAGGAGTCGGCCAAAATAGGTGTATGTTGAACTTCTTTCGCACCGCACGAGTCCAACCGTGTTAATCGGAGGTGCGGGGGGGGGGGGGGTGCCAACTAAACGCAAAAAGCTGTTCTAAAGAAATGCGTTTGTCAATCTAGACGATGATTTTAAAGTGTACAGCTCCGGTGGCTTCCTAATATCGGAAGGAAGAGCGTTCCAGACGTCCAGAGAAGGTGTCATCCGAAAGCGCCGTGCGATGGTCAGCCAACAGCCACCGCGGCTGCTGAGAGGATGATCCGAGTTGGCGTAATGGTTCAAGCTCCTCGTCGATACGTCAAAGTAGGTCGGCGAGGTCTGCTCCCGCTCACCTCCAACTATCATCCATCGACGAGTCGATTGTTACCCTCACACGCGAGCTGCGCAGTCAACCCGGGGCCGCACAGATCGATGACTCGGCTTGCGTTAACAATGACTCCATGGGCATCGCTATAACCCCCCACCCCGCCCCCGAGGGGATAACGGGAACGACATGAATTGAACAAGAGGAAACGATACAAAACGAAAGCGTGCGAGTTAGTCAAAAACAATCTATTAATTAGATCGTGACAATACAACAAATTATAATACATCACGACGTTTCGATCGCAATTTCAAGAGGTCGTCCTCAGGCGGAAAAAATAATCCATCAGGTCCATTGCCGAGGACAACCGCTTGTGTTGCGATCGAAACGTCGTGATCTATTTTTTTCTACCTACGCGACTTTACCGAAAGAACCAAAGAGTATGGATTCCTGCAGTCACGAAAGCTTCAAATCAAGATTCGTGACGATACAATTAATCGAATCGTGGTGGTGTGATTGAGAATCGTTAGCTACTAGATCCCCCCCCGCCTCAAATGGTATCGGCATACAGCCCAATGCATCCAAAAATCACTCCGAATGTTCAAACTATTCTACAATTATCTCGGAACAAAGACACGATAGTCCACATGAGGCAATTATCGAGTCGGCGCTATATATATATGTGTGTGTGTTTACATGTGCCGAGATCTCTGGTGGATGAGACGCAATCCCTGCTCAGCCAGATCCTTCGTGACCATTCAGAACGGTTGTTGCATCGCCACGGCGTGTGGAGGGGGGGGGGGGGGTCAGCGACCCCCGCTGTGGGACGACGGGCGAGCAGAGGCGAGTGTGGCGAGACCAGCGTGGAGGAGCGATACGGCGTGTGGCGATGTGGGCAAGGAGAGGCGAGGGAACGGAGATGTGTGATCAGAGAGACGAGGAAGATGATGATGAGAGGCAAGGATGAGGATGAGGGAGGATGAGGTAGAGAGACCGGGAAAGGATGCGAGGGTTAGCAGAGACGGGTGACGAGAGACGAGCGTGGAGGAGCGATATGAAGGTGTGCAGAATTTGGCGACGGAACGGAGATGGGTGATCAGAGAGACGAAGCGGGCGGGGAGGGGGGGTTGAAAGAAATCGTGGTGCAGCAGAGACGAGGACGAGGAGAGATGAGGAGGAGGAGGAGGAGAGACGGAGGGAGGGAAACACGGGTGAAGAGAGACGGGCAAAATGAGACCGGGAGGTTAGAAGAGACGGGTGAACGGGGAAGATCAAGGATAACCCCACGGAGAGCAGCTCAATTGAAATGGTGGACCGTGTCGCTGTGATAACGTTGGTAATAGAGGCGGGGGGGGGGGGGGGTCATGCAGCAGACTGTTGACTGGATGGGAGGGGGGGAGGGGGGGATAACGGACAGAGGGAGGGAGAGACGAGTGGGTGGGAAGTTGGGAGAGGGGTTGATGGTGGGGGGGGGGGTCTTGTCGAGGTGTCGTGATGGTGGTGGTGGACGGGGTGGGGAGCTCGCGAGGGAGAGGAGAGAGGGTGACGCGTGGTGGTAGTTTTCTCGTTCCTCTGGCTCGTAGCTACCACTCCATTGGCTCGGTGGCTCCGTGACGCGACAGCGTGGCTCTTCTTTTTATCCAGAGAGCACCGCTTGTGCATTTCCACACCACACACGCGCACATGCTCGGGTAGCCGTCGAGGGCTCTCCCCTCGCCGCAGACACAACTCCGCCGCTAACGAAGCTTCACGGGCAGCACGCATCACCGAGCCCTCTCTCGCTTATAACCAGACGCGCTCACACACACACACATGCCACTGCCGCTTCTGAATAGATTTGCGCACGACCTTCCCTTCATAGCCGTCCTCTCCAGCCACCGCGATGCGCAAGCCCTGGCTGCCAGATGCTGTCGCGTCAAGCCTTGAAGGAAAGGGATAATTAATAAGACGGTTTTCCCCGATGCCACGTGGAGGACTCGCGCGCTGCCCACGTGCCACCCAGATGCCAAGAGCCGCGGCGGCGGTGACGCGAGGCGGCGCACGGGATGGGCTGCGCTTGGGTCAAATAGCGACGTTAAAGACCGCGGCGGCGGCGGCGGCATCGCTCTGCGTCCCATCGTCGTGGCTGCGCGTTGGAGGGAGCTCTACATAAGAGCGAGCACGAAGAGAGACAAAAAAGCATCGTAGAGACACGGAGGGGAGGAGGAGGAGGAGGAGGGAGGGCACAGGGGGAGCGCCATCCGACATCGCGTTCGTCCCATCATCGCCACCTGTCGCGTCGGACGAAGCGCAGCGAGGTGAGTCCATCGTATTCAAGGTCGGAATTTGCCGGGCACCGGTGATCTAATTAATAAATTAATTACTTCGTCGATCCGAGGTGAGCAACTTCGCAACGCCGCGGATCGCGCTTACTGCACCGGTAACACCTGTTGTCGTGAGCGTCGTGAGCGTGCTCCTCGATCGATCGCTCTCTCTCTCTCTCTGCACTACGCGTTCCGACAAATCGAGGGCGATTTCAAATTTCGGACAGAGTTGAATCGCAGTTTATCTACGCACCGATATTTCTCGTCGAACGCAAATACATTAAAAACGCGAAAATGCCGTGGGTACGAGCTCGAGAAGAGCGTAGCTCGTAAGCGTCTACGACCGCGCGTAAATCACTGCCCTTTGTTCATCCACTACTGGGACCTGAACGAAGCTCACCTACCCACAACGCTGTGTGGGTCATGGGTGCTGTATAACCATACTTCACCACTCTGGTCAGTGCGGGTGGGTAGTGAAAGGTGATAAGTAACCAGAACCAGAACCGTTTTAGATATCACTCCGAACCGGTTGTGGACCGCCCGCCACGAAAATTACGCGTGGCCGGAAATTGAACTCTGCGAACCGGGTTCATTACGCAGCATCCATCGCGCGCGCTCTCTTTCTCTCTCCGACCATCGAGCCACGAATAACGATTAATCAACCACCACGCTGCACATTAATACACCGGCTTTATAGGATCGGAGACGTTAATGCGTTCACAGAAGCGCACAATCCTCGCAACCGACAAGCAATGTTCCGTCTACCACTGATGTCCTTGGCGCATGGGACGCGCGCGTTTACGTGCGTGTGGAGCGGTCGTGTAGCGGTGATCGCATCTGCGCTATGAACCCAGCGACCCGAGTTCGATTCCCGCTCACGGCCAGCAAACACCAGGTGACGATTATCCGATCCGATCCTGGGCTTCCCCCTATATCGAATCGGCCTCGAATGAGTCCCTGGTGCGGTAGTGTAAACATCGCAACGAGGGAGACGAAGGCGGCCGGGCGTGGGGCCGGCCACTCGCCGCCTCTTCGTGTGCCGTGCCGGCCTTCACTAGGTGCTACTCGCTAACAGCGCTTGCACAAAATAAGCAACGTCTGTGAGGCTATACGGGGGAGGGGATTTTTGTTTTGTGTGGCGGGAGACTCGGAGCAGCAGCCACCAAGGTCGAGCCGGACCTGGGTAGACCCCCGCATGGAGATCTGGGTGGGACCTCTCTCTGCGGGGGGGGGGGGGGGGGGGGGGTAGGTGGGATAGGTGGGATGGGTGGGTGGATCCCATTGGCTATTGATCGATGGTGACTTGCAAAGTGTGTGCGGGTCTGTACATTAGGGTGATTAACGACTTCCCCCCTCCCCTCCCCCCCCAGCTCGTTAATGCCTCGCCACGAGGAGAAACCGATTTGCTGTAAACAGCGTCGATCTAACGGGAGCACGAGATCGATACTATTGCGCATTCATCAAATGTAAGCAACTGGAGAGAACGTGTAAATTATCGGAGGAGGCGTTTCATGGAAATATAAAGTACCGTTCTGTAGTTGTTTGCTCATTGTTTAGGCGGAAACCGTCGTAAATGGTAACGGGACATCGCTGTCTAAAGTGGTAATTGCTGATATGATGATGGTGATGTGCAGCTCCCTTAAGTCAATCTGCTGGGCGAATGCCCTCCCCACACCATGCTAGTCGTGGAGTGGTGTGTGGTGGGAGCGTAGGAGATGGTTCGATCATACTTCACCACGGTGGTCAGTGCGTGGTTGAGAAAGGGGGGGGGGGGGTGACCCACAACAAGACGTGTTTAGATATCGCTGGAGACTTGATGATAGCCGTGGTCGCGAATCGAACTCGCGCGTGACCGGCTTCATTGGGCGCATTACCACCTCCCCCCCCCCCCGTTTAATATGCAGGCTCGGATCAATTTTATTAATAGATAATGTCACCTATTTATAACATTTGCGAGACTTTGGGGAATTAGGCGAGCGTATGATTAGTTACAACATCTATACGGGTAATTAAAAAAATCCGTGATACCCGAGCATTCTTGAAGTTTCCTGTCAGTATATAAAAAAAGACAAGATTTCAGTTAGGGCTGTCGTGCTATGGATTAGGGACGTAGTTTGTGCACAGTGGCATTCACGTTCCCGGGAACGGCATCAGTTGCAAGGGGCATCTTAAGAAGTTTTTTTCTGGGACCCTCCCCATTGTGGGACCCCCCCACCACCTCCCACTGCCCCCCCCCACCACCTCCCACTGCCCCCCACCCCCAGCACCCTCCACTCTCCCAATCACCACTCACTCACCCACCCAACCTTCTCCCCCCCAGGTCGTTTCGGCGCTAATACGAGTACTTGGTGCGCGCGTGTGAACATCACAAAAGCAGCCGCCGACCGTTGCACCAGCCACACCACCTTTTCGCGCGGAGTGATGGCGTTTGTTTAACGAGTGTGTTTTGCAAACGGCAGTCTACTGTATACGCTTAAACACGGCATCTCGTGTGTGCGTATGCGCCTGTGAGAATCAAAATAAATCTGGAAATGTGCGTGTCACTGTGGCTGTGTGAATGTGCATCTTTGAATTGTGTGCATGTGTCGCTCTATCGGTCTGCGTATCTGTACGTGTGCGCGTGCGTGCGTGCGTATGTTTGTCTGGGGAGCGGTAGCGTAGTGGTTAGCGCACTGCGCTACTAACTCGGCGACCCGGGTTCGATGTCCGCTCAGTCAACATCAGTGCCGCATATCTGAACCGGAGCTGGGCCTCCCCTAGATTAACTCAGCCCGAAATGACTACGTGGTGTGGTTTGTAAGCGCCAGCACTGGGAAGACAAAGGCGGCAAGGTGTAGTATTTAGCCACACCATCCCCTCGTGGGCTGTTCTGGACAAAATTAGTGTTCGCGAACAGCACGTGCCCCAACAGTCTGTTCAAGCTATCGTGGGGATGTTCGTCTTTGTTTTGGGTGTGTATTTGTATATCTGAATGTGCTCGTGCGCGCGCGCGCGCGCGTCCACGTGTGTGCTCGCTAACATCACTTGCCCCGGCGTTCGGTTAAAGGCCAAACCGGGAGATCTTTGTCCTTGCTGTCATTTGTACTGGCTTGCCTAGGGTCATCGGAGTCCGTTGTACTCAACCCACGGCGCTTGCCCGGGGCTCAAAGGAGCTCTGCCAGCACCATGGACAGCGACGCGCTCAACAACGCATCGGACGCGAATTCGACCAACGCGACCTCGCCGAGCGGGGACGCCGCCTACAGCAGCAGCAGCAACTTCAACAAGACAGTGGAGGAGGTGCTCATCGCCATCGTGGCCGGCTCGCTGAGCCTCGTCACGGTGGTGGGCAACATCCTGGTGATGCTCTCCATAAAGGTGAACAGGCAGCTCAAGACGGTCAACAATTACTTCCTCTTCAGCCTGGCATGCGCGGACTTTTTCATCGGCGCGTTTTCCATGAACCTCTACACCTATGTACATCATCGTGGGCGAGTGGCCGCTCGGCGCGGTCGTGTGCGATCTGTGGCTCGCTCTGGATTACGTGGTGAGCAACGCGTCCGTCATGAACCTGCTCATCATCAGCTTCGACCGCTACTTCTGCGTGACCAAACCATTGTCATACCCGGCCCGGAGGACGACAAAAATGGCCGGGCTCATGATCGCCGCAGCGTGGATCCTCTCGTTCATCCTGTGGGCGCCGGCTATTCTGTTCTGGCAGTTCATCGTGGGCAAGAGGACGGTGCCGGAGAAGGAGTGCTCCATTCAGTTCCTCTCGAACCCCGTGGTGACCTTCGGCACGGCCATCGCGGCCTTCTACCTGCCCGTGGTCATCATGACAGTGCTGTACATCCACATCTCGTACGCGAGCAAGAGCCGCGTGAGGAGGGAGCACAAGAGGGAGAACAAGAAAGAGCGGCAGCCCAGGTTCGCCATCTTCAGCAAGTGCAGGTTGTTCCGCAAAAACAACGGCGAGCCCACCGCCACTGCCAACGCCGCGAACGCCGCTAACGTCGCCAACGTCGCCAACGTCGCCAACGTCGCCGCCGCAGCAGCCGCAGCCGCCGCCACCGCAGCCGCGATGAACAACGCCAGCAGCGTCCGTGCCGAGCAGGGGAAGTTCAAGAACGGGACGGTCGAGTGCAACAACGAGGGAGACAAGGGCGCGGAGTTGGAGGAGAAAGACCTCTCCAACGAGTCGACGTCCCTGAGCGTCGTGCCCTCTCACCACAAGGACGAGCTGGGGAACGATGTGCAGCAGCAGCAGCAGCAGCAGCCCAACTGCAGCGGCGCAAAGCCGCTCAGAAAGCCATCTCCGTCGAAGGCGACCAAAGTAAAAGTCGTCACGAAAGCAGATGGTGCCGACGGCTGCTCCACGCAGGTGCAGCTGGTACAAGCCGACGGCGTTGGAGGAGAAGGAGGCGGCAGTGGCAGCGCAGGAGACGGCGATTCGAAGGCGACCGAGGAGGCCGCCAAGTCCGCCGAGAGCAAACAGAAGGTGACGGTGGCGGCCGCAGCGGCGGCGGCAGCTGCGGCGGCGCCGCCCGTGGCGAGGAAGTTCGCCAACATCGCCAGGAGCCAGGTGCGCAAGCGGCGGCAGGCGGCGGCGCGCGAGAAGAAGGTGACGCGGACCATCTTCGCCATCCTGCTGGCCTTCATCATCACGTGGACGCCCTACAACGTGATGGTGCTCATCAACACGTTCTGCGGCTCGTGCGTGCCCAACACCGTCTGGATAATCGGCTACTGGTTGTGCTACATCAACAGCACCATCAACCCGGCGTGCTACGCGCTCTGCAACGCCACTTTCAAGAAGACGTTCAAGCACCTGTTGCTGTGTCAGTACAAAAACATCGGGCAGGCCAGATGAGGAGGGGGGGACGCGAGGTCGCTGGCGAGAGATTCAATCTGGAGCGAGGCGCCCCCCCCCCGACCCCCCATCTCTCTCCTTCTCTCTTTCTCTTCTTGCCCAATCCCCCCCTCTCCCCTTTCGTATCATGCCGCAAGTGTTGCTCATATTCGAAAACATATCAAGAGCGCTTCAGTATCTCGTGTGTGTGGGTGGTGTTACCGGTACTAAAAAAAAGAAAAAAAAGGCAGATTTTTTTCTACGTAGGGTAGGTCGGAGAGAAAAAAAAATAATTGACGTGCAATATATATCACGCGAAGTGTGTGCGCGCGGCAGGAGAAAAAACTATCTATTTTTGTTCATATCAAAAGATTCCTCAGCTGAACGTGCAATTAAGTGTATCACACTTGGTGATGTGTTTAATTACAAGGCGTTTATATATTTAAATATCTATAGAGTGCTTACGTTATATATTTCAACAAGGAACTGTTGACGTGGATGGGCAGGGATGGCTATTCGTTAAAACGGTCAGACACGATTGCTCGTTTCAGTTCGAGTGCATCATCATCACCATGCTCCACCTTCACGTGCATCCTTACAAAACGTAAACAGAAAATTAACTCTCAACTACATCAACTGATGATAGTCCACCATGCATTACGTGCTCGCGAAGACGAGACAAAAAAAGCATAGATCTCCCGTGACAATCTTACGAGACGCATTTGGCTAGCGAGCACCTATGAAGGCCGGCACGGTACACGAGGGGGTGGGTGACCAAGACACACACCAATACACACAACGTGCGCGCGTCTGATCTGTTACTTCGGGAGGAATAGCAACCGTCACACCGCCTTCGAGATTTATTAGGCAAACGCTCACGAACACAAATTAGCCCAACAGAGGTTCAGTGTTTATTTTTTTTTTGCGAGTGGCAAGGCTCATTAGCTCTCTCGTCTCCCAGTCCAAGGTTTTGTGGGGCCACCGCAACGCTCCCACGAGGCTGTCGCGACGAGGAGCATCGCCATTAAACAACCCAAGCCCGAGATTGGCCTTGCGTCGTTGCATCTTTGAAGAGACGGCGTTCCAGCGTCTCGATGCATAGCGCGTAATATCAAGGCCACCCCCCCTCCCCCCTCGCCACCCCCTCCCTCCCCTCCCCCCAGTGATGGTTGCGTCAAAGGAGGTCATTACCTTGCGACTGCGTCACGCAACTGAATTTTTAGGCCGAAAATTGCCACAATTACTTCGGAAGAATTCCCCCCCCCCCAGCCCCCGGCCTCCGGCAAATTGCACGGGGCCTCATTGACACGGAGCTGAAGCGGCCTCCACACACTCCCAGCGGGGGGCGAGCCGGGGTGGACGGATAGCGGCAGGCGACGTCGTCTTTGTGGTCCAAGGTCTAGCCGCTGGCGCCCCGTGCAGGCATTGCTCAGACAATACCCCCCCCCCACCCACGATACGGTCACCTCAATCAGTGTAAGAGGAGGTCTATCCAGTCACGAAGACAAAGATCCCCCGTATAGCCTGAACAGACTGTGGGGGGGGGCAAGCGCAGTTACCGAGTTGCACGAGGGGGTGGGTGGTCAGCAACCACGCCCGGCCGTCTTCGTCTCCCCAGGTGGCGATGTTTACGCACCGCACCAGGTACTCATTTGAGGCCGAGTCGACCTAGGGGAGGCCCAGGACCGGTTCAGATAATCGTCACTAGTGTTGGCCGTGAGCGGGAATCAAACTTAGGTCCCCTGATTTGTCACGCAGCGTGCTAGCCGCTGCACTACGGCTCCTCAGATAAAACACACGCACACGGATGCTGCGTATACGCCGCTCCAAATCAGGGTACACCTACACTCCTCCTCGACACTGGCCAGCGATGCGAGGCAGTGCGCGCGCTTGCTTCCGAAATCAATTGCGAAATCAAAACACCGAGGCAGTCCAGCAACTTTGCCAGCATCCACCATCAACAAACCTCATCTCAACGCAAATCCGTAGGAGATCGCTCACGGCACAATACCCCCAAAGAGAGAGAGAGAGAGACTCTCGATTCCCGCATGAAAGCTCTCGATAGTTGGCTGTCAAACCGCTGCAGCCGGAAAGGGTCCACGTGGCAAGTCCCCCGTTGGCCACAAAACACTCACGGGGCGTGCTGAAAGTGAAGAATCGAAAATGTGTAAAACTCAAATTGTTGCGCAGACCCCGGGGCGGGTGGGGGGGGGGGCCTGCGTGTTCTGAATCTGGCCCGAGATTGAAACCAATGTCATCTCTACGTGTCCCGCAGTCGGGAGAAAAACGAAAAAAAAGACATGGGCATTGTTTCTTTTCGACCAGGAAACAAAATGTTGTTGTAATCCCTCCCGACGCAATTATCGTAGGAAGTAGACGACTCGCACAGAGCGAGGGACGCGGGTGGGGGGGGGTCATCGGGGCCATGACGTCATAGCACATCACGCTTGCGCTTACCAAAGTTTGCGGTTTATTCCAAAGGACGCGTGGTCATTGCGATCGATGTCGCGCCGCGGGTTAATCCAGTGGCTATCGTGGCAGCAGCAGCAGCAGCAAACACAACTTTGGCGCGTTACAGGTATTACAGTGGGACATGCCGCGTGGTCGCTTCGCATAGAATTACGGGGGTTTCGGAGTCTCCAAAATGTTCTCGTCTCCAAAAAGGCGCCATCCTAAGCGGACTCGGGGGGGGGGGGGGGGGGGGGGGGGGGGGGGGGGGGGCTGTGGGTGTTCAGAGTTTCTCCCTGCCACCTGAGTGGTCCCCTCATTCCTCAGCTCTCAATGCCTCCCGCCTCCCCCCCCCACGCTTCAGTCTTCCTTTGTCGATCAGACGCAGAATTACCGCACCTACAATCTGCATCTCGGTGCATATTATTTGGATGTTGACCGTCTTTCGCACCGTACGTCGCCAAGCGTGCTAATTCGGAGGTGGAAGGAGAGCGGGAGAGAGCGAGAGAGAAAATCGTGGGAAGGAATGTGAAAAATCATGATGGTGGTGTGAGAATTTGTGACCGAGATCATCCTGATGAATCATGACGTCATCACCAGCAATGATCAATCCACTGCTAGATGAAGCCTCCGCCCTCCCCCAAGCCGTCCCCTATGTTTGCACATCGCGTGTTGCAACAATCCCACCTCTGCACGAGCCGACTTCATCACTCCATCTCCTCTAGACCGCACCCGCACCCTTCCGTGGCCGACACTCCGTCGATATTCTTGGACCCATCGATCATCATCCCTTCCATCGATCATCAGTGTGCTGCGGCAGCGAGATAACTACCTCGTCTGGAATTACAGGAGGTCGTGGGTTCGAACCCTACCCCGACGCCTGCATATTTGAAGTTTGCATGTTCTCCCCGTGGTCGCGTGGATTATTCTCCGGGTCCTCTGGGTTTTCCCCTCCAAATTTTTGAAACACGCGTTTAGTGTATTTGGCTGATATAAATTTCCACGTCATTATAAGCCCCCTTCGTTGAGCTCTGATTTGTGTCTATGTCGCTTCTGAAAACCAGCTATATAACTCAGTGGACCTTACCTGGTAAAATAAAAAGTTGAGTTCGAGTTAACAGTTCTAGCGGTGCGTCCGGCAGAAGCCCGCTTACATTAGATGCTATCAAAAATAAAATAGACACTCGGTTTCTAGACAAAACAGACTTTTTCACGATATAAAACGTGGGGAAAGGAATGGATTCTATCTCGACTTGCAAATCAGATACTACAGTAACCACATTATTATCTTTAGGGGTTACCGCTTGGAAATCAATCGATATTCATGAGCCTCGATTTATTTTTAGATATATATTTCCCCCCTCAAAAGCCTTGCGACTTAACCCCAACCACAGCATATAGCCTACCCAACCACAATACACGTAGCTTCGTGTCGTTCCTACCTCTGCCATAGCTGTGGCACATTCCTCGTAGCCCTGGTGTTGATTAATTCTATAATTGAGTTTTCCTCGGCCGACTTTTTCAGAAATCTGTCCATTACAGTTGTAGCTGAACTGGAGGTACGTTCCGTCTCAGCTCCCTGGTGTATGTATTTATTCTTAGAAGAATGCAGTCGTTTCTCAAACCAGACGCATTGAAACCACCAGTCACTCACTCTTCACCCAGCACACTTTCTTTTGCATTGTATGAGAAAAGGGTTATCGCGCAGACACACACACACAGAAAAATAGGCACTATTTAACAAGGCGTATAGAGTGATATAAATGCAAAGACAAAGATCCCCCGTATAGCCTTTAGCAGTCTGTTGGGGCAAGTGCTGTATGAGAATTCCTATGAAGGGCGGCACGGCACACGAAGTGGGTGGGTGACCAGCACCACGCCCGGTCATATGTCTTTCCTTTGCTGGTGTTTACACACCGCACCAGATACTCGTTTGACGCCGAGTCGACCTAGAGGAGGCCCAGGACCGGTTCAGATAATCGTCACCGGTGTTGATAGTGAGCGGGAATCAAACTCGGGTCTCTGGGTTCGTAACGCATCTTGCTAACCGCTACACTAGCACTCCCCATGCAGACACACACACACAAACTCCTACACAGATGACGGACATCTAGCTCTGCCAGTATACAATACAAAAGTAGCGTAATACGTGCAAGACGAAACCGATCCACAACACACACGGTATTTGTAATGCACGTAGATTCTGACCTATTTGGTGAGTAAAACTTTTAAAAGGGGATGTTCATTCGATGCTGACCGCAAGGAAAGTTTTGGGCGCTCACCTTGAATGTATCGTAACACTATGGTCGTGAACCCACCTTTATATTACCTCCACCCCACAGTATTTACCATCAAAGAGCTCGCAATACAGTAATCTCGTCACGAGCCCCCTTAACATTGGGATCGTCTATAATTTCCTGTATCACAATCGCTATCGGAGGCTTTCTTCGAGTGTTTTGGCCACGCGCGCGTTACACAGCGGAGGAGGAGGCGGCAGCGGCGTTTGTCCCGCTGGGCAATGGACTTCAAGGAGGAGCGGGGGGGGGGAGAGAAGACGACGCAGGAGGAGGAGGAGGCCGACTACAAAACTTTGATTTAACCCCCCACCTTGAATATCGTGGATTAAAAAAAAAGGCTTTTGCAAGGGACTTGTATCCCCCCCATACCTTTGACCTGTGGATTTGCACACGTTTTCCGTGACCACGAGACTATAGCTCGTCCGAGTTGTGTGTATTATGCCATGTGAAATATTTTGCAATAGTACAATGTTATATATATAAAGAGTTAATAAAACGATACAACTGTATTATATATACACACATTAATACACACACACACACTGAACCGCATTGTCATCGAGTGGAATTTAAGAGAGTGCAGGCGGGTTCACCTACACACTGGTTTAAAGGCGATGGCCAATGAAGATGTGCGGGAGATGGGGGGGGGGGTTGAAGAGGGGGACCCAGCCCCCCCACCCAATTAATTCCTTGCAACAATTCCTTGCCCGTGAAATCCGCGCCACTGTTTACCGCTCGCACTCGAACCTGTAAGGGTGTGTTGTAGACGTTGAGGCTGGCAACAAGTCATCTCCTCCCCCTTAGGTTAGAGCATTTTACCGCGCCTGATGATGATGATGAATGGCGAGGCGTCAATCCTTTAAAAAAACTATAATCATCATTTACGTAAATTGTGTTAATCTATTGTTGGACTGAAGGCCTCTACCACACACACCTTGAAGATCAATGATGTTTAGTTTGAACCATACTTCCCCACGCTGGTGCGTGCGGGTTGGTTAAGCGTGACGGCGAAAGGTGGGGGGTAGAGGGGGGCTAAAACCGGTTCAAGTATCACTCGGCAGTCACGTTAGCCGTGACTGGGAATTGAACTCAGATATAAATGGGTTAATACAGCAGCACGAGATTCACTGCAGTGACCTCAACCCCCCCCCCCCCCGCACACAAAACCATCACCCAACGTTGAGTTGTTCTTGCGAGTCCCTACATAATCACTCATTGTCAAATCATTTCTGGATAAAGGCATCTTTCTCCCATGCGATGCATTACATACTGCGCTCCTGACCCATTCTTATGTATACACCGAAACGATTAAGGCTGAACATACGAATGCATTTGCGGACCTTCTCGAGCAATGTAGACGAATTGAAATTGTCTACACACCGTCGAGATGTATACATACACACACTAGTATTTGGAAATGTTCCAGATAATTCCGCTGATAAAACACACACACACGCGCGCGCGCACGTGTGCGCTCACCTGATCCACGCCTCGCCAAATCCGGTATTAAACATTACATGCTATATTTGTAGACTGTTGAAAATCTATTACGAGGTTGAATATACAGGTCGCAAGAAAAACAAATTGAGACCCTGCATCGTGTGAAGCTCATTGCGACCGAATATACAGTGGTGTAATGTTCTTTTAAATCACCATTTAAAATGTACCGGCCTTTGCAAATCCACTGCTGAATTAAGGCTTCTGAACGCTGTGTTGATCATGTGGGGTTGTCCATACTTCACCACGCTGTTCAGAGCGGATTATTTTGGAAGGCAGTGCCCAGGACTGGTTCAGATATCACTCGCCAATGATGTCAACAGTGAATGAAACTCGCATGTGCCCGATTCATAGCGTAGGGATAACTATGTTGAACTTCTTTCGCACCGTACATAGCCAACCGTGCTAATCAGAGGTACAGGGAGAAGGACAATAAACTAAACACAAAACGCAGTTCTAAAGAAATAAGTTTTCAATCTCGATTTATAAAGTGCATATGGCTGCAGCGGCTGATATTGGAAGAGCGTTCCAGACGGCCGCAGAGGCGCATCCAAAAGCACGCGATGCAGTTGACCTTTTTTGCTCGATGGGAAGTTAAAAGCCGCTGCTGCTGCGATTATGACCCTATAGCCATTGCTGCCAGCACTCTGCCCCGCATCATTGACATTGTTGGGAATGTATGCGTTGAGAAAAGCCTCAATGAGTCTCAAGACGCCGCATGACGAAAAGCAAACTCCTCCAATACCGTCATGCGAATTTGTTTTTATTCCGCGACTCCTTGCCGTATCAAAATACATCCAAAATGTTTGTTAGCTTTTATGAGCAAATTCCCACGAAGTAGAGAGGGGTCGACGACTTCACGAATAAATAAAAAACTGGAAAACGAGAGCATTTTTTTTGTAACGCAAATCCGACTCGTGCTGACGAGCCCCAGGAGAGCGAAACTTCTCGAGAGAGTTTCGCACGAGTGACCAAATGCTGCGGTCACTAGCGCTAAAAAAATATAATCCACGTCGACGCTTGGCGAGGTTTTATCATAGAACGACAAAACACGTCCCAGATGGGGAGTCTAGGCGGGCACGGGAGGGCGGTTATGTGATAGGAATGTCTTTAAATTAAGTGCCGGAACTATTAATCTTCAGTTTTTAATTAGACAAATGAATAAAGAATAATGTGGTTCGGGTGTACCAGTCTACCTCTCATGAATATATGCATGCACAAGGTTTATTTATAATATAACCAGGTTAGCCAAGACATTTGAGATGGGGAGGGTCTTCATTCAGCAGTTGATCGACCATGGCTGATGATTAATTTAGTCAGGGCTTTGAGGCTTTCATCCAGCAGTAGATTTGACCATCTTTGATGATGATGGGGTGATTCATATCCATGGCTTGAGGAGGCCTTCATACAGCGATGGGTTAATCATGGTTAAGAGATGATAATATTAATGAGAGTACAGGAGACAACCCCGTCTCTGTTGCACTGCAAGGAAGACTTCAAATTAAAATTTGAAACTGAAAGTGCACGAGTTTAGTAGCAATTTTTTTTCTCATGAAAAAATGACAAGTCTCTCTCCTTCACCTGCACTGTTCGTTGCAAACTCACTCCCATTGTCCTATAAGTTCATGAATACAGTCAAGGTAACATCTCCGCCGCGGCTCGAGGACATTCATCCAGCAGTGGATTGACCATGGCTGCTGCCGATGGGGCACCTCCGGTCGGCCGTTGTGCTTCGAGTCCTGTTCGTACGGAGAGGCAGCCGACCAGATAACATTTCAAGTTCTTGTATTCTCCGGAAAGCAAGACGCACCCCAAACGCAAGCCCAGCGTCAAAAAAGTTATACAAATCTTGGTCTCGCACACAGACAAAGATCCCCCGTATAGCCTTTAACAGACTGTTGCGTCAAGTGCTCTTAACGAGCACCTATCAAAGTCCGGCACACGAGAAGATGGGTGGCCAGCACCACGCCCGGCGGCCTTTGTCTCCCTCGTGACGATGTTTACACATCGCACCCAGGTACTCATTTGAGGCTGAACCGACCTTAGGGAAGTGCAGGACCGGTTCAGATAATCGTCGCTGGTATTACCTGTGAGCACACACACACACGTGTATCGGATTGTACCAAGATGCACCCCATCGTCGTATAATCCGAAAGAATACGGAAAATTATCTTCTCCAGGCCCATTCACCAACATCTTCCATAGAGAACCGCGTTTGCGAAAACGGCACAGATCACGTCTAAACCAATTGCAGTTTGTGTACCGTTTTTGCCTTATTAATTCGTACAGAGCAGTGGTTCTTAACCTTCACTGCAGCCTTGCAGCCCTTTGGTTTTCAATCGTTAGAACATGTATAATGTAAATAAGTACAAAAGGGTTTGATGAAACAGCGTAGTTGTACTTGCGTGCCCGTGCTTAATGCGTTTCGACGATTTACCTTCAAAAATAAAATCTGGCCATATCTCGCATTCCCAGAAATGGCATTTTGCACTCGGAGGGGTTGCGGTCACCACAAGCTAAGAACCACTGAAAGACGCAAATGAGCAGACAGTTGGGCTCGAGATGGATTCGGTTTTGTTTTTCCACAGCGAGAGAAACGGCTTCTTAAACAAAACACACAAATCAAACAGGACCGATCGGTTTGTTTCAAACCGCAAGAGCCCTCACAGCCGAATTTACCAAAACATCAATAATAACAACAATAGATCTACATCTACAGCCCTTTCGTCAATCCACTGCTGGGTGAGGGCCCTTCCCCACGCTGTGCGGCAGTGGGGGGGGGGTCATCGGTCCAAACCCCACGGTGCTGGTCTGGTTGAAGGTGGCGGGGGGGGGGGGGGCATAGAAGCGGGAGCATAGTACAGAGCAACAATGGATTCTGCTGCACTACTGCTAACAACGTAGCCCCGCACTGGCTGCTATGTGCGTGGCGATCACCCATCAAAGCATTATCCAGGATAAAGCCTCCTTAGCTTCCGAGATATGACAGATGATTTGGTCGCAGGCATTAAAAATGACAAATTGTATTTGTATCGAATTAGCCCTCCCAATGCGTCTAAAGACGACATGTTGGCATCTAGGGGATTTGCATTGGGTTGTTTGGACAAAAATGCCAATGTTTGGGCAATTCTATCGTAAGGGAGAATTTGTAACGTGGGAGCAAACCGGTGCAACTCGTGGACATCCCACGTGTACGAGACAAAAGCAATCAAACAAGTTCCACACACACACACACGTGTTCATGCCCCCATACTTCGTGGACTGCAACCGTTGGGATCCCGTTGGGCTTGGACACCTCACAAATCATGACGTGATGCACAAATCCTGACCTGGGAAGCACTGGACCACAGGCTCAACTCACCTGCGGAATCTCGACATCGTCAATGATCGCGGAGTGTGTTCAAGCTTCATGGGATCGAGGCAGATTTGCAGGCCGGCCTTGTCCTCCCCCCGCACCTCCGAATTGAGGCGGCTAGCTACGTAGGGTGCGAAAGAAGTCCAACATTAATATTCTTAGGTTTTTTCGGTAAAGTCACGTAGGTAAAAAATGTAAAATTAAAATTAATAATTTTTTTACCTACGTGACTTTACCGAAAAAACCTAAGAATATATATCCTTGCAGTCACGAAAGCTTCAAATCTAGAAAGTCCAACATTCGTCGATACACACGAACCGCGTTTTCTCAGCCGCGGTTTCTGGCTTCCACTCTTCAGTTGGGATCCTGACTTTATAGGCACCTGTTGTGCGCAATCCCGCATTCATTTACCGGTGGCGAGTAGCCTCAAGATTGCCTCTGCACGGACTTGCAATAGGATTAATTACATTGCTTAAAGACCACTTTAGACCACAGCTATTTTGTTGATTGGAATTAAATAAGCTCTGCGCACCAAAAGGGCTTCTCCCAGCTGTTTTTCCGAGGCTCAAGCTTTCCTGTATTTCCACATTTGTTTTATTCCTTTGCAATGCCACAGGGCAACACGCGTCGTCACGGTTGATGATGATGAGATGATGCAGGAACTAGATCGTTTACGCCACAAGATCGCGAGGAATGCCAACGGTTTGGGGAGACCTTCATGCAGCAAGGGGATAGATCATGGCTGGCGACGACGCCGACGACGACGATGATGATGATGACATTGAGCACAGAGCGATGTTCAAATACATAAATCCGTCCTTTGCAAAGTATCGTGCGCCACGCTGCGCCACTTACGATCACACGTCTCGACGCAATGGGCAGAGCCAACTGTGAGCAGCCACGCTCTCCATTGCGCTGATTACAGATACACGTGGGTGTCCCCCCCCCCCCCCCGTGTCGTATTAGAAGGTACACCCACCTGCTCCTCCAATTCCCACTGCCTATCTCACGTTTTTGGTAATTTGATCACGTTTCAGACCTTCTTCGTTCGCCTATCATGATCGTATTTCATTGTCATTGGGGCGGTGCGGGAGGGGAGGGGAGGGGGGCGAATGCACGGTGCTTCGAACAGCGGCGGGCACGAGTGTGAGTGCAGGGCCACGGCTAACACGGGGGGGGGGGGGGGTGGGCGAGCAATATCCTCAAGCAGCGCCGGGTGGGAGCCCCCTTCACCAACCCGCACTCGCCACAATGGTGAGGTGTGGTCAACAAATTAGGGTTGCCACCCGTCCCGGTTTTCCCAGAAGACAGCCAGATTTTATTCCGATTGTGTCAATATTAATATCATATTGCGACACCGCTCAACACCGATGCATTTACCATGCGGTTCTCCCCACTTCTGGTTTTGTGCGGAATTTTTCCCCATGATATGTCCAAGTTTTCGCTGCACCTCAGGAGGTGGCATTTCGGTGACCCAAGTCGCTCGTGTAACGGAGACTGCCCCTGGCCACTTGAGAGCTCACCTGGTTTTAACAAAAACAACCCGAAACTTCAACCAAACCCCGTCAATAACATGGCGTGGGAAGGCCCTCACGCTCGAGTACATTGACAGAGGGCAGTGTGGGATAGTCACATTGGCCGAGTGGCTCTGTGGATTGGGTGCCTGGCTGGCAATCGTGGCGGTTGAGGATTCAACTCCCTGGGCTGGTCTGTCCACTCGGTAAATTCCCCTCCAATGGAGTCAATGAATAAAATCAGTATCGTCGTATAAATTCACGCTCCAATGTGTTTTTACGAGTATCAGTATGATTGAATATTAATTATTATCAACAGCGGTTGTGCTATGGAATATATAATGGTCCCTGGCAGAGTTCAGTGCTGGCCAGCATTCGTTTGACCCAGGTCTTGTTTGCAAAAAGTACTCGCAGTTTCAATTACCTCTCAGCTGGTTATTAAAGACAACTGATCTGGATTGAATATCCCAATACTGCTGACTCTGTTCAAAGTTATTATCTCAATAGAGGTGGCCGATTAAACTGGGTTCTCAAATATTGTGAGTTGATCATCTCAGGCTGGTTATCCATGGCTGCATAAAAATAATGGCATTTTATTAAATGTCGGGACTTTCCATTATTTTATTTGACAAAATCTCAGCTCTGAGAATGAAACAAGAATGGGGTTGACTGTCATGCGAGTGACATTTATTTGTAGCAGGTCATGTGGTGAGGATTCTGAACTGACGTATCGTCTCATGAACACAAGGCCCGTTTAGCACAACTTTAACGTTGGAAAAACAAAGACAACAAAAAGCCCCCCTGAAGGAGGATTTCGAGTCAAATGAAGGCTGGATTGTGGCACAAAATATCCCATGGGGCGGCGGTGCGGCATCTGCCTGGTATCCATAACACAACACGTGAATGTGCCTTCACCGGTAGTTAATTAACTTCTCGTTAACGACCGCTGCTCCAGGTCAGTGGCGGGTTTCTTAAACTTCAGTCCTCGCGACCCACCAGGTAAGGCCCCGCTGAGCTATACATCTCTTTTGCAGAAGCGACCTGGCCACAAATTATAGCTTAGCAAAGTGGCTTATCGCGTGGAAATTTATAGCAGCCAAATACTTTAAATGCATGTTGATCCTAAATGTGGAGGGAAAAACCGGATGACTCGGATAAAAATCCACGCGACCACCGAGAGAACATGCAAACTCCAAATATACAGGCGTCAGGGTCGGGATCGAAACCACTACCTCCTGTATACCAGGCGAGGGAATCAACATCTCGCCACCGTGGCGCCCTTACCAATCTTCTCTGTTCAAATACCAATCACGTTGTTGTTACACCCTGAAAGCACTTCTCTCTTGCCAAACGATATCCGCATCTGGAAAAGATATTGGCCATTCAAATTTCGACATCTCCTGCATATATGTTCATGTGTCCCACGTGACATAGACAGGCCGATTCTAATTGGCCGGACAGCAGTGTCGCACACCTGTAACCCAGCGCTGTGGAAGCATCAAGGGTTAGTGGATCACACACAGATGGTTGTGAAAATCCCTTCCCGTGCGCGTCGAGGAGGCGCCGAACCATGGCTCGCCCGCAGACAATGGTACAGCGAGCGGTCTAATTGCCATCAGTTTCCATCTGTACGGTGGCGGAGTGTTTCCCACTCGCACAAGGCATGGGTCTTCTCGGAGTGATCCAGTTTCCTCCCCACAATGTGAAGCGGTTGAAAACATCTTTAAATAAAAACCCAATGCAGGACTCTACTGAAACAATTGTTACACGACTCGGCGTGGCTTTCTTCGATGATTGAATACATAAGTACACCCGGAGAATGTGTTTCGCAATCACCGTGGACGCGTTGGCTGGGAGGCACTAGATTTGGTATTGGAGCAAACGACAAAATGGTCAACTCGGTTTGGTCGTGGAGGAACTGGAGTTTGGCAGACCGCTGTGGCAGAGTAAGCACACAATGAGAGCCGCTGCGCTTGCGAACGACGCCACAGGGTTATGACCGTTCGCTCCAACATTGGAGGTGCACAGACGACGACCACGACGACTTCTGCCGAGAGAAGAAGGTACGAGTTGAAATTGCACGTGCACACAATTCGTGACAACATTTTGGGGGTTTTGGCCACGTAACGATTGTGGGCCACATTTTGTCCTGAGCACAACACGCGACGGCACGCAGCGAAGCGAGCATCTTCCAGCCCTGCTCGTGCCACTGCTGGTGATTTTGCCTTCTCTTCAAGGCCGGAAGGCGGGGGGAGTACCCACACTTTACGAGACCTGCCGATCGACTGTGGACTTACCCATTTCTACCGCTGTGTGGACAAGGGTGTTGTGGTGGGGGGGGGGGGGGGGCGCTGGGTGAGTTTAATAAACTTCAATCATCAGCTGCAAGCAACGAGTCGCTGCAGGATGTGCCTCTGAATATTTGTAGATACAATATGTCATGCAAATCTGAACTGGGGGGGGGGGGGTTCTCAAAACATTACTTTTTCATTAATTTTCAGCACCAATAATTACTGCAACGAGGTTTATTGATATAATTTATTCATAGATGGCACGGTCAATATATAAAGTTCCAAATTGCTCTAATTGCTGTGCTTTTATATTGGAAAAAAATATGATACTCATCATCGGCGAATGAAGTCATTCGCCTCTCGTGTCATGGTGTGACTATAACGCGCGTTACTGTGTTAGCTCAGGTCTGTGGACAATATCGAGCCCGGCGAACGAGACCGACCGAGGCCCACTAAATTTGCGAGAGACGCGACAGAAGGTGCATCAATTCACTCCCACTTGTGTGTGTGTTTTTTTTTACGTGTGTTTGTTCTGCCCGGATTTACGACGCCGCGGGGCTTTGTGCAATGGCAATGAAGTCGGCTGGCCACACGTGCGCATTTTAATCGCCACCTCCCCCTGCCCCTCCACGCGAAAAAGAAAAACGAAACGGTGCTCGCGTGTTTCCGTCTCCCGGTAAAGTTGTGTGTGTGCCTCTCGCTCCGCCACCACTCAGCCACCCGGCACACAGCAACCCTCCCTCGCTGACCCCCCCCCCCTCCATCCCTCCCTGCCTACGTGAACCACCAACAATTAAAAATGTTCATGGCCGGATAGTGGAAAAAGGTGCTGGCGTAATTGGAAATATTTTACGTCTCCTATAAAGAACCGAAATGAACATCACTCACACCCCGGGGGTGCCGTGTGTCGGTGGCTGTCACGTGTCACCTGTCGGTGACTTCATCGAGTCGCGGATAACGAACAATTGAAAGCCCCAAAATGGGACATTTTTGCTAGTATCGAAGCATATTTTGTTTGTGTGTTCGCCACAGGTACTACATGTGGTTAACGCAGTGCTTAATTCCTTGCAAAATGTTTCTATTTGGTGTTTGGACATCTTAACACCTCCTGTTTTCGATTTAAAGCTTTCGTGACTGCAGGGATTCATCTTCTTGGTTCTTTCGGTAAAGTCATGTAGAAGGGAAATAATAAAATAATAAAAAATAAAACATAATAAAATAATTCTCACAACGTTTCGGCCACAACGCAAGCAGCCGTCCTCAGGTGAAGACCAGACGCCGTCTCCCCGACAGACCTGGTCTTCACCTGAGGACGGCTGCTTGCGTTGTGGCCGAAACGTCGTGAGAATTATTTTATTACTTCTCTTCTACGTGACTTTACCGAAAGAACCAAGAAGATGACCTCCTGTTTTATTGGCCGAAAGGGTAAAACCCTCATCTTATTTTTTTTTCATAATTTAAAGCCGCAAGCACGGGTTCTTTTGTTCTCAACGCTGGCTACGAAATATTGTTTTTTTTACGTTAAATAGTTAGCGGCGGTAATGCCCCCGTTAGGAGGGCGAAGAGACTGGCTGAAGACCGGGGGGCCTCACCGACGCACGGTGGGTTCGGGTATCGCTCGCCACTGATGTTAACCGCGTGAACCAAATAGTTTAGATGTATAGATTCATCGGGGGGGGGGGGGGGGGGGGGTGGGGGAAGTTGTTGGGAGGGTTTGTCGTGATCAAAAGCGATTGTCATTTTATGAAGACGATTGTGGGGGGCG